GGTGGTGGCTTCAGGCCATAGGACGGCGAAGACCGTGAGGCCAGAGACACCAACTGAGTGCTTTGCAGCAGAAAAGGTGCTGACTGCTATGCACTAAGTAAAAACATATTACAGCATACGGGCATACGAGTATAGCTAATTATATGTCGATATAATTTACATCATATACACAGTATTTGTAGACATACGCTGGCACAGCTATACATTAATCACGGCCTTCACACACACCACACACACACACGCACGCACATCCCCGCGTCCGGGAAATATAGCATACCCACGCCTCGAAGCTTAATCGACCAGCCTAAGCAACTTATGAGCCTATATGTTGCAGCTGACGAAGCACGGTACATACCATATCAAGCACCCCACTTCTGGCTCAGCAGCATCAGGATCCTCCTCCAACTTGCGACGCTTCCCCTGTACAAAGTGCGCACATTCAAGAAAATATTGTCACTGCGGCAGAAGTAGTGTTGGCAAAGGACACATCAGCTAAAGTCGAAGCAAAGATGATGTCATTCCATCAAAAGCTTGTATGCTGTTGCCAAATAAACCTTCAAGCAGTGCCTCCAGGGTATTGGTTTTCCTGTCAGAAAAAACATTGATGTATTTGATATTGGTTGCAACCGGCTTCAAGAGACGCCCATCAAAACTCAAAAAATGTTGGACTGATAAAGAAACATGACAACGACCGTTACAACTTCAGAGTACCAAACCAAGCTGAGCTTTACGGCTCAGCCTGGATGAAGTTGGAGTTGTCTCTTTTCCTTTGCGAATCTCTTCAGCCTTCGCCTCAAACACTGCGATCAGAACAATGGATGTTGTTGAACGCCAAGAGTCTTGTGAGTCTTGTTTATATACATCCTCCGAGCTCCGCATGACGCATCATGTTTGTCTCTTACTTCTTGGGTCCATATTACCAGCAACTTCTCAGGTAGCAATTCTAAGAGGTTTGGGCCAATCTGCACCTTATCCTGGTTGGATTGGCGCACGCGACGCCTAGGTGTCGTGTGGGTCAAGATTAGTATACAACTAAATTATTGCAAAATATTGTAAACAAAATGTTCTGATGCCTGTCTTCAATCTTTAGCCGTTACCAAACCATGGTGAGGCCATCACTCTTCTTTCAGCTCCTCAATGCGACGATTGAGTTTGGCAACCAGGGCTCCACCTTAGATGATTGAGCTATACTAAATCCTACAGAATCTACTACCACGGTTCGTTCCTTCCAAGGCCAACACGTCCTGTTGGCTCAGTTGGGTCTGAGGACGAAGCCGTCCTCGACACATGACTTGAAGACCTGCTGTGAGCCCAAAAAACATAAGGTTGCGGACCTCGTAGCCGACTTCTTGTTTTTCTTCTTATTCTTGTTCTTCCCACCTTGCGCACCACCTAGTTCGGGCTTCAGACTGGGTGAAAACATGTCGAAACAACACAATTACTACCCTGTTCGTCCCTGCCGTAGGTTGTAAACCCATATCAAAAGTGTTCCTCTCTTCTCTTAGGACTTCCATGGACCTGAAATCTGTGCGCCTTGAGACTTCAAGATCTCTGTGGTGCTTTTTGCCTCGTCAAGTCACAGGACTCTGTGGGGTCTGCACTGGTCTGCGCTCTGTATTCCTGACACTGGACTGACAGTTGCTGGTTTCCAGCCCACTCAGGCAAACCAACATCCATATCTCGACGGTTTGGAAATGAAGGGATGGCCAAAAGTAGTTGTGTCGAGATGGGTTTCCAGTTTCGGGATTTGTTGGCAACCAAAATTTTCTGCGATGGCTGGGAAGGTTTCTTGCGACGACGGTACCCTCAGACCCTCAGGGAGTTTGCGCAATGGTTCGGCAAGGTTTTGTAGAGCATCTGCGATGTCGACGTAAACGAGATCTTTTGCGTCGGTGGAAAATGTTTGCCCCAGTGAAGGGTGAAGAAAACGAAAAAAAAAACGCGTGGGGACCACGAGCAATTACTGGTAACAACACCATGATTGCAACCACTACTACAGTTAGGACGCAGCCGCCGCGGCGGCCGCCGCCGCCGACGATGACCACAACCACAACCACCACTAGTACTTGTACTAGAGCTAGAACTAGAACTAGTACTACTACTACTACTACTACCACTACCACTACTACTACTACTACTACTACTTCTACTACACTACTACTGCTACAGCTACTCCAAATTCCTACTACTACTCCTACTACTACTACTACTACTACTACTAATTACAAATGTTAGAAGCGTATTAGTTTGTGGGCCCCCCCTCGGAATTTTTTTGGCGCGCTTTTTTGAAGGGTCCGATTCGATATAAAGGGCCTCTGGAGTAGTGGTAGTAGTAGTAGTAGGAGTAGGGGTAGGAGTAGGAGTAGTGCTAGTAATAGTAGTAGTGGTACTAGTAGTGGTACTAGTACTAGTACTAGTACTAGTGGTAGTAGTAGTAGTAGTAGCAGCAGTAGTAGTAGTAGTGGTAGTAGTACTAGTAGTCGTAATTAGTAGTAGTACTCGTGGGTGTACTAGTAGTGGTGGTCGTCGTAGTAGTAGTAGTAGTGGTAGTCGTCGTCGTAGTAGTAGTAGTAGTGGTAGGAGTAGTGGTAGTAGTGGTAGTGGTAGTAGTAGTAGTAGTGGTAGTAGTAGTAGTAGCAGTAGTAGTAGCGGTAGCAGTAGCAGTAGCAGTAGCAGTAGCAGTAGCAGTAGCAGTAGC